ACTGCCAGGCACAGGGAGGGAAGGACATACGGACCCTGAGAATCCGCACACATTCACTTGTCCTGCGTCAGCTCCCCGAGCCCTTGCCCTGTGCCTGCTGTGCTGGGTGGCGCTGGGACCCATCCCTGACCCAGGCAGCCTTGGTTGGCCCTGCCCTTCCAGGGCTCATAGTCCAGTGGCCAGACAAATCTCTAGACAGGGGCCACCCGGAGTGGGCAGGGTTGAGGTAGAGGAACTCAGGAGAACGACCTGACCCAGCTTGACGGTCAGGGAGGGCTTCCTGGAGAAAGAGGTGTCTGAGCTGAGACGGGGAGGGTGCATGGGGGTGGGGCCGGCAGGGTGGAGCACCGTGCCTGTGGCCACATTCCCAGCCCGGGGAGCAGAATGTGGAGGGCCTGGAAGCGGTTCAGAGTGGTGGATGATAGACCTCAGACCACAGGGTGTGGGTGAGGGTCAGGGGTGTTGAGAGGGAGGCTGAGGGGACTTCAGGAGCCAGAACTCCCAGGGAGTTGCAGGCTACCGCGAGAAGCCTGACTTTAAGGGCACTGGGGAGCCATGGATGGCTCGGAGCAGGGAGGGGCAGGACTGAGTTTGGGATTTAGAAAGCTCCCTTGGGCTGTCTTGTGGTGAGAGGATAGGAGGGGGCAGGAGACCAGGTAGGAGGCTGGGAAGGTGATGGGGAGACGCGATCTGGCCCAGGGCTGGGCTGTAGAGATCCCAAGCTCGGGAGGCCTAGGAGGTAGGTTCTGGGGTTTGCCCCTCCCTGAGGGAAGGCGGAGCCCAGGTTTTGGGTCTGGGCAGCCGGGTGCATTCTCTGGGCTCTCAGAAGGGTAAACAAAGGGGCAAAGGCTGGGGACAGGTGCCCCGAGGTGGGGTGGGGGAGGTCCTCCAAGCAGCCAGTGTGCTGGTCCGTGGGTCTGCGTGGTCCTCTGCTGCCCCCTGCTGGCTCTGCGTTGACACGAGTCCTGCCTGCAAGTCTGGCAGAAAGGACGGATCCAATCAACTTAAATCCCAACCAGTGATAAAAGATGACATTTCTGGGGCGACCATGCTGCAGGGTGCACCCATGTTCACTGTCCCCCCCCGCCGGCCCCCGGGTCTCCAGCTGCCTCCTGCCAACACACCGAAATGAATTCACAACCGACTTCCCAAACCTGCCCTCTTCCCTCCCACCCACCTTCTCTCCCTCCCTTCTCTTTCTTGGTTTTGTTGAGATATAATTCACATACCAGACAATTCACCCATTTAAAGTGTACAATTCAGTGTTTTTAATATGTTCATAGGGTGGTGCAACCATCTGCATGATCAGTTTTAGAACATTTCCATCACCCCCAAAAGAAACACTCTACCCCTTATTAGGCACTCCCCATCTCCCTGTCCCTCCGGCTCCTGGCAACCACTCAGCCGTCTGAGCTTCCTGTCTCTATGGATTTGTCTGTTCTGGACATTTCCCATCAATGAACTCAGACAATATGTAACTTTTTGTGTCTGGCTACTTTCACTCAGCATCATGTTCTCAAGGTTCATCCACGTTGTTGCATGGCCCAGTACTTCGGTCCATATTTATGGTCGGACTATATCCCACTATCTGGGTACACCACGTTTTGTTTCTCCACTCATCCACTGACGGCCATTTGGGTTGTTTTCACTTTTTGGCTATTATGAGCAGTGCTGTGAACATTTGTGTACAAGTTTTCACGTGGACACGTTTTCCCTCCTTGCAAACCTGACCCTCTTGCACTGTGAATGCCGCCACTGCCCCTGCTTTCCATCAGCAAGCCAGACATGGGGCAGGGGTCCCCCACTCGAGCCCCGCCCCCAGCTTTCTTGGCACCTGCTCATTCTCCTTCATAACATCACTCCCCTGGAAATTATGTTTGATGCCATTTGTTGTCAGTTCTCTGAGGGCAGGGATCTCTGTTTTGTCCTTGGCGATAACAACTGCACACAGCAGGTGATCAATAAATGTTTGTTGAGCTGATGAACGAACACGTTTGTGACACATCCTCCTCCCTCCTCCCTGGACATCTCACCCAGGACCAAATTCTGTCAATGTTTTGTTCTAAATATCTTCTGGCTCTGTGCATTTCGTCCCTGGCCGGGCCCGCCACCCTGGTCCATCACCTGCTGAATGAATGAATGAGTCATTGAATGAAGAGGTGGAGGAGAGCAGGTCTTCCTGGGAAGTTTTCTCAGGGAGACACAGTAGTTGAGAATGTGGGCCCTGGTGTGAGTCACGATGGTGCATTGATTGGGCTGTTCGTGCATATCGGTTTTCCCTATTCTTTTTTTTTTTTTAAAGATTTTATTTATTTGAGAAAGAGTATGAGAGAGAGAGAGAGAGAGAGAGCACGAGCAGGGGGAGCAGCAGAGGGAGAGGGAAAAGCAGGCTCCCAGCTGAGCAGGGAGCCTGATGAGGGGCTCCATCTCAGGGCCCTGAGATCATGAGCTGAGCCAAAGGCAGACGCTCAACCAACTGAGCCCCCCAGGCACCCCCATTTCCCCTATTCTGCATATATGGTAGCATTGCACCTGCCCAGCGCTCTTGACATTAGAGTGTATCATGCGCCTTCCTTTGGCCAAGGAGATGTGGGTGGGCGTATCACTTCTGGGTGAAAGCCTTTAAAAGCCTGCATGCTTTGCCGTGTCCCCTCCCTTTTTAAAGGTTCTGTCTCCAAATACAATCCCAGGGAGGGTTAGGGTTTCAGCATACACATTTTGGGGGATGCAATTCCGTCCATATCAGGGTTGATACTAAGTGAGCAATCAGGCTCAGAGAGCTTACTCTTGAAAAAAATAGTCGTCTTTTTTTTTTTTTTTAAGATTTTATTTATTTATTTGACACACACAGAGAGAGAGAGACAGCGAGAGAGGGAACACAAGCAGGGGGAGTGGGAGAGGGAGAAGCAGGCTTCCCACCAAGCAGGGAGCCTGACGCGGGGCTCGATCCCAGGACCCTGGGATCATGACCTGACCCGAAGGCAGACGCTTAACGACAGCCACCCAAGCGCCCAATACTGTCGTCATGAAGGTGGGGGTTGTATGAATCAAGTTTTAGAAGGACGTGGATGCAAAGAATCCCAAAGTAATGGTAGTTTGCACAAGAGAGGAGTCTTTCTCTCCCAGGTAACTTATCTAACCTGGCGTGGTGGCTCTGTCCCCGTTGCTGTCCCTGCCCCAGCTCCCTCTAACCTGGCTCTGTGCGCCCCTGTCTATGTGATCCGAGATGGCTCTCACCACCACATCTTCAGCCTCTGGGAAGGGGGAATGCTCTCCCTTTAAGGGTGTGACTTGAGGACTGCGTGCCGCTAATCACTTCTGCTCATATCCCATTGGCTGGGAATTAGTCACAGGGCTAGCTCGAGCTGCAGGGCAATCTGGGAAATGTAGTTTTCCTGCTCAGCAGCCATGCTCTTGGTTCAAAACCCTATTACTGAGGAAAAGGAGAGAACAGATACTGGGGTTTGACGAGGGGTTGCTGGAAAAGAGGGGAGGAAGGCAGACACTCTGCACCAGAGTGGCCAGTGCTGGGGCCGACCCTGCCCGTGCCTTGACCTGGTTGACCTTCTCAGAAGCAGGAGATGAGGGTGTCCTGAGAGGTCTGGGGATTTCAACATCCCCAGAGTACTGGCGTATTGAGTCAGCAGGAGATGCAACTTCCCTTCCTTGGAATTCGTCCTCATCCCCTACATGAATTTCCCGTGGCAGCTGTAACAAGTTCCCACAAGTGTGTAGTGGCTTAAAACAACAGGAATTTATTCGCTTCCGGTTCGCGAGGTCCGAAGTCCTTAATGGGTCTCACGGGGCCAAAATCAAGGTGTCGGCGGGGCTGGGTCGCCTTCTGGAGGCTCTGCGGGAGCATCTGGGCTCTTGTCCTTTCCAGCTTCTGGGCTCTGCTCGTGGCTTCTTTCTGTCTTCCACGCCAGCCAGGGCCCGTGAAGTCTTTCTCCCATCACGTCAGACTCCGTGGGGCCTTGGCTTTGGGGCCCTTCCTCCATCTTTAGAGTCCAGTATCACTCCAGTCTCTGCCTCCTTTCTTACAGCTGCTTCTCTCCCCCCCGGGTCCCTTTCACAAAGGCCCTTGTGATTATATTTCAGGCCCAGAGGGGTCATCCGGGATAATCTCCCCATCTCAGGATCCTTCACCAGTCACACCTGCTCAGTCCCTTCTGCCGTGTAAGGTAACGTTCACAGGGCGTTAGCACATACACAACTTTATTCAGCCTGCCACATGGTCTTTTTAAAAAGATTTTATTAATTTATTTGTCAGAGAGAGAGAGAGAGAAAGAGCACAAGCGGGGGTGGGGGGGGCGGGGCAGGCAGAGGGAGAAGCAAACTCCCCGCTGAGCCGGGAGCCCGATGTGGGGGCTCGATCATGACCTGAGCCGAAGGCAGACGCTTAACCGACTGAGCCACCCAGGCGTCCCCGGCCACACTGTCTTTAGTTTCAGCTCCCAGAGCAAAAGCGACAGTCTGCTGTGCCTTACGTGGGGCGATTCTGTGCCCTGAACTATCTGCTGCTCCCCACCTCCCTGACCTCACCTCCCACCCTTTCCCCCTTCCTTCCTCCACTCCCACCACCCTGGCCTCTTGCTGCTCCTTGAACTCCCCAGGCATACTCCTGCCTCAGGGCCTTTGCACTTGCTGCTTCCTCTGCCTGGAATGCTCTCCCTCCAGATCCCTGCGTGGCTTCCTCTCTCTCTCCGCCTTTAGGTCTTTGTTCATCATCACCTTCTCTGCAAGGCCTTCTCCGCCCTTCCTATTTAAAATCACCGTCCCTCGGGCGCCTGGGTGGCTCAGTTGGTTAAGTGACTGCCTTCGGCTCGGGTCATGATCCTGGAGTCCCGGGATCGAGTCCCATGTCGGGCTCCTTGCTCAGCAGGGAGTCTGCTTCTCTCTCTGACCCTCTTCCCTCTCGTGCTATCTCTCATTCTCTCTCTCAAATAAATAAATAAATAAAATCTTTAAAAAAAAAATAAATAAAATCACCATCCCTCTGCACTCCCAGGGGAAGGGGCTCCAAGGACAAGCAGGGAGCAGGGGTGGGGCATTGTGGGCCGACAGGTAGAAGCCCAGCGAGTAGAAGCCTGTGAGGTCTGGCTTGAGGCAGGCCTGAGACCACTCTCCTCACCCCCAAATATCCAGTGTGTGTGAGGGCGTACTTTGGGTTAGGAGAAGGCAAGAGCCTGCCTTTCCCAGGCACGAGGCCCAGGCCAGCTTGCTGGACAGACCAGAGTTGAGGGCGGGTTATATACTCAGAGGGTCAGAGAGGCGCTGGGCCCATCATGATCTCTTGCCCATGCCTGATCCTGTGCTGAGTCTTCATTTGAGTCCACCTTGTCGGCCTCTGGCTGTGGTGGCCTGGTGCTGTGGGGTCTCTGGTGTGGCTTCTCTGTGGGCCCCAGGCCCCCAGGGGAGGGCTGAGGCTTTTGCTCTTCCAGGGGCCTCTTCGGGGGGTTGGCATGAGTTGGCAGTAAGGGGCAGGGGCAGGGTTCAGCAAGTCCTGGGGGGGGAGGGGAAGAGAGGGATTGTGGGTGGGGGTCGGGGTCGGGGTCGGGGGAGCCAGGCAGAGGCTGAGGGATGGGGTGGAGAACACACCTGGAGAGAATGGTGGAAGGAGAGAGGCGTGCAGAGGCAGGAAGCACCAGGTATCGGGAGGGCCAGAGAAAGGGGTGGACACAGAGCGATGGGAATGGAGAGCGAGGACGGGCAGGAGCACAGAGGAGGAGAGAGAGTGAGGGAGACATCAAGAAATAAAGATGGGTGAAGAGACAGAGAGAGAGAGGGAAGGATAAAAGGACATGGGAGCCAGAGAATGACGGCAAGAGCAGGAGATGCCCTGAGCGGTGTAGAGAAATGCAGAGAAACATAGACAGACACATGGACACAGAGATCCAGGGGCAGACAGAAGGGGATGGAGATGGGCTGGGACCTGCAGCCTTGGAATCCTTCTAAGAAGGAGGAAGGTACAACCCCAGGAGGGGAGAGGCTGTGCTGTGCCTCCGTGGGAGCTACAGCTCAGGGAATGGGTGGATCGTCGGTGAGGATGCCCACCGCCCTGCCCCCACCGTCGAGACCCCCCTCCCGCATCCCGGCTCCACACACCTGGTAGGGGTGGTTCTCCGGCTCTGGCTGCTGCTGGGGCAGGGGCTGTGAGGGAAGAGCACAGGTGAGCCAGGCCCCCCGGCACCCTGACACCCTCCTACCTTGGACCTTTGCTCTGAGGACAGACCTGGCTTCCCAGTCCCAAGTCCCCATCGCCCCAGAGACTAATGCTCCTCATGTTGTGTCCTTCCAGTCTCTTTTCCTGGTGGTTTTAAAGTAGGGAGCATCCCAGGGTGAGTCGCATTCGTGCAGTGTGGGGACAAGGTGCCGGCGCCACAGCAAACTCCTGGGGAAGCGGCAGGTGGGGCTTTGGGGGAGGGGGTGGAACTCACCATGGAGGTGTTCACCGGGGGGGAGATACCAGGAGGGTCGGAGACGGCATCACTTCATAGATGTCCTGGTCACCTGAAGCAGAGGGCAAGGGGGGAACTGGCTGACGCGTGGCCCACAGGCCCATGCTACCTGCTGTCAGTGGTCATTTTATTCAGCTAACATTTGTGCAAGTCCCTCTCCTTGCCCAGCCCTATGTTGGGGACACAGCCAAGACTGAGGCAGTGCTGGCCCCGGCCTCCCAGGTCTCACAGTCCAGTGGGGGAGACAGATCTGTCCCCAGATAGGGATGACCCAGAGGGGGTAGGGCTGAGTGGGGGAGCCCAGAGGGCTCCTGGAGGGGATTCAGGGAGGGCTTCCTGGAGGAGGGGACATCTGAGACTGGAAAGAGAAGTGAGAACTATGCAAATGCTGGAGGGAGTGGCTGGCAGGAGATAGCCTGCCATGTTTGAGGAGCTGTGATATATTTGGTCTGTCTGGATTATATGTAGTTTATTTTATATTGTTTTGTTTTTGAGGATGGGATTGTTACATGTGGGAAATGAAGCCAGGAAAGACAGTGGGGACCAGTTTATGGGAATCTAGAGAGCCATGTTAAGGAGGCTGACTTTGTCCTAAGGACCCTGGGGAGCTATGGAGGGTCTCTGAGCAGAGGAGTGACAGGGTGAGGGTTCTAGAAGCACTCTGCCTGGGGATGGGGTGGAGGCCAGCCTGGAGGTGGGGAGCCCAGCAAGGAGTTGGGTGTGGGGACCCGGGAGTGGAACCACCGGGACTGGAGGTGCCAGGCACTGAGAAGAGGAGGAAAAGCAGTTTTGGCGTGAGTGCTGTTGTCCTCAGAGCCTGTGGGCTGAGTCTGGGGGGCCCCAGAGAGGTCTGGGTGGGGCAAGTGATTGGGAGACCCCTAGTGGGGGAGGGCGAGGGTGTGTGTGGCTGGTGGGGAAAAGAGGAAGGAGCCTGGAGGAGGGCCTTTAGCCACAGGGACCTCTGCCTTACCGGCATTGTGATTGGGGTGCACCTCTGGCTTCTCTGTGGGTGTCATCCTGGGGACATATGGAGAGAACCAATATTAGGGTAGTAAGCCACTCAGGTGGGTGGAGAGAGACTCAGAGAAACTGGAAAGCCCATCAGTCCATCAGAGAGAGAGATGATCCCTGATTCAGAGTGAGCTAGGACAAGACCTGCCCCATCCCCGCCTCTTCTCCCATAATGTCCAGCCACAGAGCCCTTCCTCAGTTTCCCCAGCCGCCACCGTATGCCAGTGAGTAACGTTTCCCCAATGTCACTATTTAGGCAGACCATCTAGATGATTCTGCTCCATCCACCTGTTTCACGATTTCCTTAATATTTCTCTTTGATTCAGCTCATTTGAATACCTTTATTTAGAAAGTACACTTGACATCACTGCAGCAAATTCATTATTTCACTAAACACATATTTACGGAACATGGACCATGGGCTGGGTCCTGTTGAAGCCACTGGGGACACAGCTGGGAACAAGACAGACAAAGACCCCTGGCCTCCTGGAGTGGGCACTCTAGGGCGGGGAGAGGGAGAGAGAGAGAGAGAGAGAGAGAGAGAGAGAGAGAGAGAGAGAGAG